GCCTCCGTCCGTCCTCACCTTCCAGCGGGACCCACCCGTCCACTTCGCCAGGCTGGTCTTCTGAACCGAAGCAGGCCACACCTTCCTCTGGAAATCTTTTGGCTGCCTTTCGATGGAGGTGTGTTTCTCATCTATTTTCATCTTCTTCCTTTCCTCAATTCTATTTTTCCTGTAAGTTATCCTGTTTGGTCGGTAATTTATAGGGTCTGCTGTTGAACACCAGTGCGATGTATCGCACATTTAGTTGCTTTTTTTGTTGTCCAGCATTAATGCTTCGTCAGTATCAGTGGATGAAAATGTGCTCAATGCCTTTACCCATGCTTAAGTCATGGTGCTATTGGTTTTGTTGATCTTGATCTGGTCGATTTTCCTACATCAATTTTAATCCTTATTAAACTGATCTAGCCTCATTGTGTTTCTAGTTCTGTTGCGTGTGCTTAAAGTAGCAGTTTCTAACACGTTTTTATGGCCAATTTTTTTGAAACTTGACCTCGTCTACACAATGGAAATCCGCCGAATCTTCTTTGTAGTCTGACTAGAAGATTAATTATTTAGAGCCTAGATCTGCAGTAGCGGCATTTCTGTTGTATTTACCTTTTTTATCGCAAGGTTTTTAAAATAGCTGTAAGTTTTCACTAACGTCCAAAGTTAGGTGGTGGGATTCGCTAATCGCAATTCATCAGTAGTCATACAATTAACGAACTTCAGTTCCATAAAGATCACTATAAGAATCAATTCAAAACCTCTAACTGGTGCTTTTAATCCCTTTAAGGTGAGAAAACCATCTTCCAATTATTCGGTGAAGACGTTGTCGTGGAGCAGAGACGAAAACGCTCATCTTCTACATTCGTCAAAGTCTTCTTGTGTGTTATCTCGGCCGCGATTCAGATGTTGGTTATATTTCTTTGAAGTACACATGGGCAGCCCCCCTCTACAAGTGGGGATCCAGTGGAGGGGAGGAGCCAAGTTCCAAAGACTCCTGTCAGACACGTGATCTTCCCCGCCGACTCGAACGTCGACCTTCGCACCTGGACATTTTCATCGGGTCTTTGAGTGGGTCTGGGGCAACGAGACATCTCAGTGAAGTGACTCGTAGCCGTGGTGGAAGTGTCTTTGGCAGCAACGACACTTCCCACTGCACTCCTGCTGCTTGCGGCTTTCATTTGGTAGCCAAATTGATGTATCACATAGCCAAGTAAACATTATTTAGCATTTATACAATAAGCATTTCTCAATTGTACTTATTTTCTGGCGTCGTTTTCTGCTGACTCTTTCACACTATTTCTGATCTTACTTGCTAGTTTCGGACCACGAACACTTTACAAAATAAGTATATCCTCAAATTTACTTACAGTAGTAAGCTCAATTTTCATTCTACAAATTTATCGTTTTGATTGCTTCCAACTTCAGCCTCGTAATTTCATACTACTTACTTAAGTGAGAGTCTCCTTATCTCTCACGTCTGCTATTCACAATTCTCATTCGCTTTCTGCTTTCGGATAAACGCCCGTTGGTAGTAACGGTCCTGCCCATAATACGCGTTTGAATGTAATTGGATTACGTCTTTTTCTGGAGCCGTGACTTGAGTACGTATTCTAAATCTACCATTAATTCCTTATTTTAAAGGCCTCTGGTAGCCGATCTCTTATTCTCTTTTAGTCATTTCCTTTTTTAGAAGCTCGTGCGTCCAAAAAATGTATATTACAACATCCAATCATTCGTCAGCAATAATTTTGGGGCTAGCAGTTAAACGTTGTGTAGACAAATTCTCTGGAATAGCTAAAGCGATTTTGGTAGACTAGGGCTAAATTTTGCACCAGCTTTCGAAGCGGCAACTCGTAGGTGCCATTCATTATTTTGAAAGAGTTTTGAACATTTTGCTACGTAGCTCTCAATGCACAGTTTCGAAATTAGCCATTAAGTTTATTTAAATTTCGTTGCTATTATAACTCCGTGAGACTATCCTCGTGCCCTGGCCCTGGCATTAACTTGAGTTAACTGTGGTTACATTTCAAGGGGGTCGCTGGCCTTCAAGCCCCTTTTTTAAAAGCACAAGTTTGTTCTAGCAAGATTCCCTTCCGCTCTTGATTTTTCTCTTTAGCACGAGAGTTGGAACGTGCAGAGTGTTTTCTTGACCGTGTAGTACTCTAAATACAAGAAACTGTGACGGAATTTTACAAGAAGTTAGCGAAGAGACTTTTGTATACGATGAAATTCATGTAAAGATTTACATTGAATATGGCTTAAATTCAAGTGCTAGGGCAACCTGGGCGTGAAGCCGCATTGGCAGTGAGCAGCATCGGTAAAAGGGGCCTTTCCTTCGCACATCGCATGAGCCCGACACAAACTCCCAAATATATTGTGATGGATACTACCACCCAGATGCCTGCCTTAGTTGGGGCTTCTCCCAACATTGTTTGGACACCTGAATGAAGGGTAGAAAGCGTAGGTATGTAATAATATGCGGGCGATAGCTTTCATGGGTTTAGTCGGAAAACAGCACTTGTGATTCTGCTTCTTAACTCAGAAAGTTGTGATATGCTTAGGGCGTTCTAATTGGGCTGAAAGCATTTGCCACACATTGAAAACAGTTATGTGACCACATGACTGGTTAACGGGTGGTTGGATGGGTGCATGGTTCATGGATCTATTCACTGTTTAATAAAAGATAAGTGAAGCTAAACTAATTCGGACTTTTAAGTGCAAAGTTAGGCCTGTACCATTATCTGGACTTATATTTCGTCGCAGGATCCTGTGGTGACTGAAGGTATAATCATAAAATCACTATTAATGAAACTAATTGAACAAAAATGTCCTGAATTTCCTATGAATAACAAAGGTAAGTTGCCTATGTACACTTTTTTCTGCTGTTGCTCACTGACTGGTGTGGTGAGTGTGGTTGGAAGGGACTCGTTACTAATTTGATTTCTAAAAAAGTGCTTACCCTGACACACTGTTTTCACTCCTCGGTGTCTGGAGTTCCATGTAGCGCTGTCGCTTATCATATATTTGCTTCTGTAACTAATGTTCAAAAATGACCCTCATAAGAATTTAGCGATGTTTAAACCTCGAGGGGGATTCCTGAAGTTTATGGTACGATCGGTGGAAACACGTAAGTGGTTAGCATCATACGAGACTGAAGGTGTGGTCAGCTTTAACTCAGGTAAAATTTGCAGTAGCATTCGTTCTCTAACAACATGCATCAAATTCACCTTTAGGCTTTCAGTGTGTCAATTACACCACTTTCCTTTGTCTTCGTACACGGTTAGTTGGAACTCCGAGAATAATTTTATCAAAGTGTCTCTAGGCTCTTGTGGGTTTTCAAAACCGGACAATTCAACACTTAATAGATAGCCACGTGCTTGAGAGCGGTGGAAAACTTACGGGGTGTTTGGTAAAGAAAACGTCCTTCCCCATATCGTGCCCACGTAACTGCAGATTCCCAAAGTGCGATTGGATTAACCTTGGGAATTCAGATTGATACCTATTATCATTAGGTCAAAGGGTACTCGGTGTGAGCATCGTTTTAAAATTAAATCTCATGGCTTTGTTAGTTTATAGACGGTGAATCTTTAACTTTTTTATTTTCGCTCAACTTGTAAGGAGGGGGAGACGTGCGACAAATATACAGATTTAATGGACCTTCACTCTTTCAAGCAGTGCCCTAGTAGCTTTGCGTCGTTGTTGTTAGCACCTCACATGGCAACATTCAACTTGTCCATCAACATGTACAAGAATTTGTTGTGCGACATAGAAATGTAGCTTAATTCTAAGTAGTCGTCACGATGTAGCTCTAAAGGTAGTATATTTCTACTAAAAAGGAGGAGCAAAATGAGCAGCTTGGCTATCTCAATGGCCTCAGAATTTCGATAGTCATTCATTTTTACCCGCATCAGTTTTATCCCTGGCTCAAAGAGAGTTGTCCAATAAACATCAACTAGAAGTGGACAGCCAAAATTTTAGGGGATTTTAGTACTATGATATGTCCCTAAGGGCGTAAAGATGGAGAGCTATCGGTGTTTCACAAATTCTTCCACATTGTGAGCAACCAATGGTTTGTAAATATGCCTCTTTTATGCCATTATCTTAATATGAAATATTAGAATAGTAGAGTAACTGACATCATTAATAAGAGGGATGCGGCTGCGGAATACCACTATGCATTCGGTTCATGTAGAGCGCAAGCGCCTGCAATCCCTAAAAGAATCGCAATAACTCTGAGTATTAAATTTACTTATGGGCAGCTTTCAAAACTCAGCCTTTTAGCCGTCACTCCTTCGGACTACGAAAAGTCATCGAAAGGAAACTTACATGCAAATTTGCTTGTGTTTGCTGCAGTGCAGTCCTGTGAGTTTGTGCATTGCGGAAGAAGTCTGAAAATACCTTAAAATCAACAATATTCACTGAATATTATTCTTCCATATGAAGGCATTCATTCTTGTTGAATTTAAGCTGTGTCAATTTAGTACTGCTGTTTATAGGTCAGAGTTCAATTTGATCTTTCAAAACGACTAGCAAAAATGCATTTTGTTGATTGAATAAAAAATTAGAGGAGGAGTACCAAGTTAACTTAGTGGGCGATTCTTTGATGAATGGTTAAAAGCTTAATCATACATATTTTAATGATGGCTACACATACAAAGGAACTCGTTTATGGGAATAAGTAGGTCTTCTTGCATGTTGCTTTTTCCCTATTCTGAAGGCTAAATTACACCCCAAGACAGCGTCATTGCGTTTTCGGTTGCTCAAGCACGAGTAATGCGATTAGTCGGCTGGAAATAGTCCGCAAGCTTAGCGTTGCATTGGAACCGGTGTGCATTTGCTCAAGCCTTTTCGATTTATTTTAACCTAATTTTAAAACCCAATGGAAGTTTTACATCAGACATTCCGCGACTTTGCAAAAACGCGCCCTCCATCCACAGAGTGGAGTTAGTAGTCAGTTCAAGGCAGACATCATCTGTACGTGTGTGTTGATGAAACGTGACTGAAGTGGCAGGTAGATACGACGCCAAAAAAACGGAAAACTAACCTCGCAAGGGACATTTTCGCCACAATTTTATGTTTTGGCAACCCTAAATGCCATTGAATTGGCACGGGAGATTTCGCATATTGCTAATAATTTTAAATGAACTGCTGGTAAATGCAGAGTCAGAGAGTAAAGGAAATCCGTACCATTCTGTGAGGCAACAACGACAATACCTCAGCAACTGCGTTGGAATTGTGAGTTTTTTACCAATATTACTATTTTTATGAATACCCAAAGTTTACTTATTAATTTATTCTTTCGTCATTACTTATTTTGATACTGGTTTAAAAATATCGGGAGTTTAATGAGATATTGTGCATACCGGACGTGGCGAATTCTACTGCAGACTCAAATAATGAGAAGTTAGTTTATTGTATTAAAACCTTGTGGTAAAGTTTGTAAAGAAAACTCAGGAAATGCACATTTACTTGTCTGTCTACTTTGTTAAACTTTTCCTGTTTCGTCGCAAGCACAATTCCTATTAGTCGTGCAAAACAAATGTTATCGACACTGTGTAAGATTTTGCGTAGCGCTTTTTTTTTAATTTTAATTTAATTTATAGACAAGGAATTACTTTGCAGTATTCCATAACTTTTTAGAAGTAGTTAGCTGTATTACTCGCATTTGCACTGATACAGAGCACCGATGATCATCATGCATTGCACAGAATACCATTGACACAATAGTTTTCAAACCACTGCTGAGTGAACAGAAGCAAAGCTGTGCCATCACTGGTACTAGAATATGCATGTGTGCGTGGCCCTATTTATTTGCATTAAATCCTAATGAACAGAAATATTTGAACCAACGCATAAACTATTTTCTACATAACGGGCAAACTGCAGGAACAGAGGCCTCGGCGTCAATTGCGCCGATGAGAAGTGGAATGCCTTTTGGTCCCATTATTGAAGGGTGTGGATAGGGTCGTCTCAGAAGTATTTCCTCCTCTTCAACAATAACAGGTGGCCAAATTTGTCATTCAAAATACTTTCCCAGTTTTCTGTAAGTAGTAAATTATCTACATATGAGGCTCAATAGTATCTCAGTAAACTGAAATAACATAGGCTTTTGAACGGGAAACTGGCGACTAGCTTTGGCTACGACACGGCTGTAAAACTGTCGAGAATCGGTGGCATAACATTTAAATTTTATGAAATCCGTAATTCTATCAACCCGATCTGGCAGTCTATCTGATAGGAACGGCTATTCGAATGAAGTGACTCCCACTGATGTTGTAGCCGTGATCAAAGTATTCGTGAATTAAAAGTATCTCTGGTCCAGTAAGGTGTAAAACTTAACCTGTACCATGATGAACGCAATTTTTCCTTCAAAAATACGCGAATACATCAGCAGTTTTCCCTAAAGGTATATGATATTTTGAATGCCCAGTGGACTGATGCGAATTCTAAGTTTACCAACATTTAATAAAATCCTAGTATTATGCGACCAAAATATGGTTACACTCACTGAACTAATCTTTTTTAATAAAGTATGAAAATCGGGGGTATTATTCTTGGGAGGGTGCATCATGCTGCACACTTGGATCTTTTCGAGATGTGTACATCATGAGATTATGGGCAGAGCAGTGTGAACCCAAGTTTGCTGTTAATGAAACTACTCTATCTGATTGACACCAACGGAAACGCAGCAGTTTCTCACCATGTTTTTTTTTGGAGTTATTCAAAGCTAATTGCCACTTAAGAACCAAAACATTCGGAGAACTGTCAATCATAGTTTTTAATTACGTTAATTATGATGGGCTTATTTTATTGAGCATAAATTTATTATCGGAATCACTCGGTTAGTAAATTTATCAAACATGCAGGGTCACTGTTCCTATTATATTTTGCTTAGCAACATCTGGTATATCATTCACAGATGCGTTTTGAAGGTGAACAACTAAGTCATCCAAGTTGGAGTCATTATAATTGCAACGAAGTAGACCACTGAAGTGCTTGGTCAACTCCAGAGCCACGTCATCTGCATCAGTGTTGGAAGCCCATGGAGCCATGTTTGAACCTGATATCATTATTACTGTCGCAAAAAGCCCTACAATAGATGTGAGGTCAATTTAAAGTATTCCCAGGTGTCATTTGTTCACTCGAGTGTCTCATTATTAGTTGCGAGCTTTTTTGGAAGTAAAACTGCTAATACGATGAGTACGAAAGTGTAAAAGGGCCTGCAGTGATGAGTTACTGAAATTATGGCAGTAAATTTTATGCAGTCGCATTTTTCAGACCATAAATTTCAAATTATTAAATTAAATTTGTTTTTAAATGTACATGTTCGGAGTGGCTCTCGTGCACTACGCTTATCGCAAGTTCTGAAATGCATTGTATTGAGTCTAAGATGCATAGAAAGGAAATTCGGTAGGTGAAACTGCATATGCTTTCTAAAAGTAACCTTTTCTCCGCATCCTCGATGGCACAAGACGGACATTGACGCAAGCAGCACCTGCGCTCTCGCCCATCAGTGCTGCGTCATTTGGGTTGCCGTGATTCGCGTTAATGTGTCTTTGAACCCACTGCATCACAAAGGTCAGGTCCAATACTTATTAAAATTGCCTTAAATTGGCTTAAAAACTTGTTTTAAGAGTAAAGCGGATTGTATTGATTTACCTTGAGGCATTTTCAAGCTTGGAACATTCCAAGGAAAGAAGGAGAAATGAATACGATGGTGGTATCTGAAAACCCATGTTAAAGCATATCTTATAGAATAATTTAAGTCGGCAGTTGAATGTCACCACTACAAGACCACTTGGTGCTAACGCAAAACCAGGGCAGTTGTGACTGTCACCCGCCTTGAAACTGCCTCCGTGAGCATGAATGACGACTGGAAGACGAGGCTAAAATAAACCCTAACCAACACTTCTCACGGTAGCTGGAGCATTTAGTAAAATTAAATTGGATGGACCATTTTGAACTCGATTATAGTAAAGCATTATCTCGGTACAATAAGATTTGGAAAAAGAGTCCTTTGGACTGGAAATAAACTTCGCATCAAAGTAGCGTGTGAAGTGTTCATTTAACCCAGTACATAGACACCTGTCAAACAAGAACTTACAATTTCGGAATTACTTTTTAAGTAAATATAATACATTGCAACACCATTCCCAAAATTCCGCTATCTGACAGATGTTGCTTAAAAGGGATGTTAAATATCGCATTTTTAAAAGCAGATTTTAGTATTTGCTTATTTTCATATGAAGTACAAGGAGGACCCTACGCATTGAGTGCATTTGACCCTGTAATTTTAAACGACATTTCGAGACTAAAGAAGGAATATGTCTAAATGACACTTGAGAGATTGCAAATTTGCCGACCACGCAGTGCAGTCCGTTGATGCACTAAAGACCTGCAAAATTTGAATGCCGGAAAACCGTCGCTTCCCACCTGGAACGGGTGTTCACTATATGCTCGAAACAACGCGTTCCAAACATATTTCAACAAGCACACTTGATAAAAGTGTCATTAAGTCTTACAAAGTGTTATTTGTTGTATGATCAGCAAATCGCATTATTTTTTGAATGGGAAATGTCTACTCCTGTGGGATTAATTAGGAGCCTTATTTAAGGTGTACCCTCACCTGAGGGATATAAATGTGTAGGAAGAAGTAATCTTCGCTAATATTATCTGGATAAGTGGAAGATACTGCGCATTTCTGAACACTTTGCATACATGCTGGTGGAAAGTTGATTGCGCACATACTTTCGCCTTGCTCACGCTGATCCCACAAGCAAACCATCTAATTTCACCACACCTTGAACTTACAATTATCTGTGCGCAATTCACCCAGAAATACGCCCTTAGTGGTCTATAACCCGGAACTTTATAAATAAAATAGAGTAGGTATTTTAAGTGATTTGTCAACAAATCAACATCCATTTTAAAGTGGATCTCGGGACAAAATAATCGTGCCTTTCCAGTGAGAATGAATAGATTTGTTCAAATGAAGACGTGTCACCTGCAAGCTTTGTGTACGGAATTTAGAGACATTAACCGAGGCTGACAATTTACCGTATTGGTAGGGCAATCCAGCAGAATGAAGACGATTATGTAATACGATAGTGGTTTATTTCTCGGTATTGGTGCGGTGCCACTTTTGTGCCTTGAATTAGCCCTCTTGTACCTCGCTGGGTGGGCTGGCCTTTGGGCCATGCCAAAAGCCCAGACACCTTCTCTGCACTGAATATATATTCTGCCCG